TGCATGTTATGCGACATGTACGTCATGAAAAACCATGCCACTCATTTCCGTCTGTCGGTCTGTCTGTCTACTAATCCTTGACCCGTCTATAACGTGGAAATCACGACTTTTGCACAAGGTTACCACTAAGGCCATCAACGGAAAAAAATATAAATCGCACACACTTCGTTGTTTTGAAATTTCATAATTTCTTAAGTAAGAACCTAGGGGGTGGTTTTTTTATGTTATTATATTTATACGCTCACAACTTCGGTAGTTCTACGCACATAGATCTAGGCCTAGACATATTTCGCACATTATAGATTTTTCCAATACATTTGCCCTCAAAACTTGAAATCTCGTTGATAAGTGTCTGTTTCTGATCCCGGTTGCGTTCCTGCCTTAGTAAGTATTCTGGTATTACTGCCGCGCTGCCGCGTCTGATCGGGTTAGGTATCACGGACGGGCGACGTTGCCAGATGGGCTACCAGTAGGGCTGGGAAAGTATATCTTTGAAGTAGTTTTATGAACCTGTTTGACTTTTAGTTTTAGTCTCTCTGTTATACATGTTCGCAACTAACTTTTTTCTCACATGGTATGTCTTTTGCTGAACCTAATTTACCTTTATCAACTGATAACAGCGTTGCGTGGAAAGTGCAGGGTGAACCTGACGCCATTTTTTTCATTTTCATAGCTGGAAGAATTTTGCCTTCAGAGTAGGACTTTTCAAACTTCCACCGCTCACTTTGAGAATCAATTATTTTCTAGCACATTAGTTTAGGTATTGACAAAAGTACAAATTAGCCGTTGCATCGCTCCCCGAAAATTTTTACTGGACCCTTATCGCCCCCAGTAGAACCCCTGTGGCGTTCTCGCCTACTTTGAGAAACAACGCCTTATCAACCGGCTCATCAAGCTATCATAACTGCCAGAAGACACCAAGAAGAGCGTCACGAAGACGGAACCGGTTCCACCAAGGCTCTACGGCCTGCCCAAGATCCACAAGGCAGATGTTCCGTTGAGATCAATAGTCAGTGCTTCCGGATCGCCGACGTACTACTTAGCGAAACACTTGGCATCCCTGCTGAAACCATACGTGGGAAAGAGTACCAGCTACATCAAGGATTCCACCGACTTTGTGAGCAAGATTCAGGACATCGTAGCTGAACTCAACGACATCTTTGTGGGCTTCGATGTCGTCTCCCTTTTCACCAAGATACCGCTGAGGGAATGCCCGGATCTGGTGAACAGGATATTCCCTTCTGACATCTGCAAGCTCTTTGAAATCTGTCTCACTGGAAGCTACTTCATATGGGACAGGGGTTTTTACGAGCAAACAGACGGAGTGGCAATGGGAAGTCCACTTAGCCCAGTCATAGCCGACATTTTTATGGAACACTTTGAGAAGAAGGCGGTTGAGACATCGGAGAACAAACCAGCAATTTGGTTCCGGTACGTGGACGACACCTTCGTGATTTGGAAACATGGCACGGACAGGCTAAACGAGTTTCTGCAGCACCTCAACGATCGGCATCCAAGCATACAATTTACCATCGAGATAGAGAGTGACCAACAACTGGCCTTCTTGGACGTACTTGTCAGGGAGCGAGGTAACAAGCTGGGTTACACAGTATACAGGAAACCAACGCACCCAGACAGATACCTGCACGCTTTGTCCAATCATCACCCAAGTCAGAAGTATGGAGTCATCAGAACCCTGACAGGACGAGCTCGAAAGATTTGCGAACCGGAGAACCTCCAGACAGAACGTGAACACCTGAAAACTGCGTTCGAAGTAAATGACTACAGCAAGAGGGACATCGAAAGATCAATGGGCTCGAGATCAGCCAGGCCACGTGAAACCAAACAGCGTCCCACCACTTCTCAAGCGTATCTTCGAATTGTGCCAAGAGTCACGGACAGGATTGAGTCCTGAAGAGACATGACATTAAAACAATCTTCAAGCCTACGAAGAAGATCCAACAAACCATCAGATCGGCAAAGGACAAGAAGGACCCACTGTCAGCCTACCGCATACCGTGTTCATGCGGCAAAGTATACATTGGAACCACGAAAAGATCAATGGGAACGAGACTCAAGGAGCACAAAGCAAATTGCCGGCTAGGACAAACTGAGAAGTCTGCGGTAGCTGAACATGCACTAAGCAATGGGGACCACAGGATACACTTTGGGAGCTGCATGTTGCTGTCATCAGTCAACGGCTATCACAATAGGCTGGTCAGGGAAGCTATCGAGATTCACAAACATCCAGATAACTTCAACAGGGAGGAAGAGACCCTCAGACTCAACCTGATCTGGCACCCGATCCTCAGAAACGCCCGAGCAGTGCAAATCGACATCCCGAAGTCAACCGAAGCGGAACAAGCAACGACACCTACCCTCCGGTATAAATACAACCCTCGCAAGAGAAATCGTCAGTCTACATCCAGTCTCGGAAATGGAAGCACCTCTTAAGAAGCTTGCCACTCGTGCTAGCGAAACGTTAGGAAGACTGCCTTTAGACCCGAATCAAGACAGCAGACTAAGCTATCAATTGACTTGAAATGAAAGATTAATATTACTATAATAATTACGTGATTGAAATAAATTCATTTACACTTTCAACAGTTGACTACGTCATTTACAATTCTGGTTCTTGGATCTCCTATAATCAGCACAAGATCTTGAATATTTATAATAAACTGAACAATAATCATTTGAGATTTAGGTTTGATGTTTGATTTATTCTGTAGACGCGCATGTGCTGTCAAATTTGATCTTTTAGTACTCTCTCAAAGAGAACTGTTAAAACCACTTCATAACCGGCTTGGAATCAGTTCGGAATTTGTTGGAATAGAGGACTGGATTCAGTTCATTTTTCTGCTAAAACAGTAATTTCGATCTGCGCATACTCAGTTCAGTTCTGAACTAGTTGGATACTTTGTCGAAACAAATTTGATTAAACAACAATTAAAAAGCAATACCCTCTAAACTGCTTTGTGTGTTTATTAATGGATGTTTGAAGAATATTTTGTAACATTGGGATATCGCACTTTTTCTAATATTAAATCACTTATATTTCGAAGCATATCAACTCCAGAGAAATGGTCACACGAACCGTTTATGTTCCGAACGCCTCAAAAATTTGAAAAAAAGTTGTTCGAAGCGAAAAAAATCAAATTCTCAGAATTTGCTTAAAAGAATGTTTGAACACTTTTTGACACAATTTCAGGAATAACTACAGCCACTTTCGTAAAGAGGGCTCTTTTTTAATAAGACTGTGTGAAGAACGGATTAGAGTAGGTAATCTACGAAGACTGAATCCTGAGTCTATATTCTTGCGTAAACTAACTGCCCCTTTAAAAACTTCTAGAATATAGACTACCTATTGCTTCAGGAAGTGATTGAGATTAACCACAATTTACGAAATTGCTATACAGCATAATAGACGCTGCATGTTTCTGCCAAGATTCCAGAAAATCGACTGCATTGCTTCCGAAATTAACTCCTGCAACATTTAAACAGGTCTTTTATACCTTACGTCGAAGATAAGATACTGAAATGGACACAAACAGAACCCCATTCAAGTTCTTAATTAGAATATAGAAAAACTAAAATGCATAAATGAAAAGAATGAACTGCTCTGCTTATTCGGCATTATTTCTCTCGGTTCAAAAAATCTCTCAGGGCAGAAGACTACGTGCAAAAAGCTATATTGTGGATAAAGGATAAGACCTTAAAGCTTGGATAAAACGGAGCCTCTAATTGGATCCCAAATAGGGTGACTGCACATCTCTGCATAATTTTCTGCTCTCAACACTTTACCCGGCGTTTTGCACGCGAACGAGATTGTCGTTGAAAATATGTGTACAGTGCTTTTCTTATTTTTTGAACGAGTCTACTTAGCAAGTTAAAGTTCGGCGTGATGAAATGAATGCATGAATGCTACATTTTAACATTGAAAACAGTTATTATGCGATTTTTTAAATAGAATGATAATGCCTCATTTTTGAGCTTCTTCTGACCATTTTATAACTTTAGAATATATCACAATTTTCCAAAATGGTTGAATGGGGAGGCTGTCACAGTTGAGTGTTTTTTTACGTTGAATCGCTTATAACTCAAAACGTTGTTTGTACGTTATATCAATCTTCTTTTTGTGAAACGGTTAATATTTTATAACATATTCGGATAGACTAGGCTATCATCACCTAAATTACCGACGCCGGAAAAAAGCTTCAGAAACCCCGGACATTTGGGTGAAATTTAGATTGTTTACCAGACACAACAGATTTAACTTTATAATAATGTGACAAATAGGCGCCATCTGTTGGTCGAGTCTCCTCCTCGTCAGAGCTTAATGGCCGATCTCTGCGTTTACGCCAACCACGACTGCACAAGCCGCTTGGCGGCGTCTGTGAGGACCGTGACAGTGGATCGCTTTCTAGATCGACGCGAAGTGGCCTCCAATATTCTAGATGTCGCTTTGTGTTTCACCCGGCTTCTCTCGAAGCAGCAATTGGGACTATATATAACTCGGCAGCCGGGAGATGGAGGTAGAGAGAGTACAGATTACACCAGAGCAGATCGGAGTGGAGTATAGAGCAGTCAATGGCGACATAAGAATTAGTCAGACATAAATAGTGGTGTATATACGTATAAATGTTCTATCAAGTTAAATAAATTAGTACATTTCTTTTTGTGGAATCCAGTGTTATCCACACCCAAAAGATACCAGAAAAACGCTACAATAGAAATAAAATATCGTTATCATTTTCAATTTTGTTATATAAATTCAAACATATTTTTTGCGATTCATTTAAGAATGTTTGACAAAAGCGACTTACGCCTACAGGTAACAAAGTCATTACTACTAAAATCATACTCTTTTCATTTTGAAGTACAAATTATAGACGGCCAAAAATCATCTACAATCTGAAATCAGACGACTTAACTTGTCAATGTCGTTAGTGCTCCTACGCACGACAGATTGTGCCGATGTTTTGTGGCAGACAGAAGTGAGTAGTGGCCACGCTCGTATAATATAACATGCAATGTGTTGCGCGTCGTGTTGCAACCATACACGAAAGGTTCAACATGTAAGTGCTGGTCGAATACAGATCGAACACTAGAATGCGTGATCGAGCGCCGGAAGCATGAGCTGACTGACGCTGTCGAATGCTCAGATGATAACCGGACACTGCTTTAAGCTCTTCGTACGAGATCATAATACACAGGCAATGTTGTCAAAACCTAGTTGAAGTGATTTAATAATTGAAACTTGAGTTTGAAAAAACAAGAAAAGTGTTGTAGAATTCGTACTCACAAGTTCGTTATCCCAGACCAATTCATCTGTGCTTATGTCCAGCCCTTATAAACTGTACAGCTTTACTTGGTATGAATCACCCTGCTCTTGGTAATGTATGAAAATTATGTAATGGAATATTTTTGTTTAAAGTCCGACTTCACTTCCTGTCTGTGCTCTTCTTTTAGCAGATTGTTCATACTCCTCTTTCTTGAATCTCTAATAAAATATATTTATTTTACTAATTCCAGAACCTGAAAACTTATTATTATTATCTAGCAGACTTGACACTTGTCATTCATATAACCGAAAATTGCGTTGATGTGAAAAATATTTTTGCCGGATTACAATTTTTTTTACAGCTAGAAAAATTAAAGGAAAACTCTTGAAACACATTTTTTGGTGCATGAAGAAGCGATTGAGGATAACTACGAAACTCATAGGTTATGATTTTTTAAGAGATAGTACATTCATGTTTTGATGAAAGCAGTCAGCATTTTGAGCTACCTGATAATTTTAGACGTAAAATGTAAGATAAACACACTAATGACCCTATTATGTGGTTGATACAAATGATTTCGATGGAATAATGTGTATGTTTGATGTGTAAGTATATTCACTCTACATTGACGTAGCTCTAACGATTTGGCTGTGTACCAGCAATGTCAGTCAGAGAACTAAAAATTTAGCTCAAAACAACATCGTGTACAGGTTAAAGAAAATCAGAAACATTTCGAATTTCAAGGTAAATCGCACCTCATTCGTTTCTTAGGGTTCCAATTATTTTTCAACAGTTTTTAATTTTTTCTCCTGGTAATAAGATATTGAGAAAACCCGGGTCGAGCCAATATCTCATTTTGCTGATAGTTTCATTCATGCAATTTATTTCTTTTTTTCAGTTTTTAGATACTTATCTACTAGTCTATATCGTTCTTGCAAGAACTACTCAAGCTCGCCTCGTATTCTCGATTACAAGATAGCCATACGCTGCCATCTTGTGGCGGGTTCCGTCACTACCATATGTCGGCTCTTCGATTCACCAGAAACCACCTCAAATGGCAACAGCTTAGTGAACTAAATCGGTAGGAGATGGCGCCCCGTCAATTTTATTGATGTTTCTGTGTTACAAGTGTATACGAGTGTTTTGTGGTTTCAAGTTATTTGAAGTTTGATGACAAGTTTGAGGTTATTTTTGTTACAATTAGCAACAAATCTGCAAGAATTACCGGCAAAAACATCTTTAGAAGAAAATCGTAACTGATGCTCTAAGTATATATATAATTTCTACCCAGGTAAGCTTTCATGTAATTATGGTACGATTTCCCTTCAATCATAATCAATATATTTCTGTTAATTTATACTGGTTATTTGCTCAGGCGTGTTATGATTTTAATTCATCATTTCCTAGATGAATTACACCTTAGAATGCTTTGTTCTAGCGCCAAAATGACTTTCATGAATCTTGCACAATACTTGCAAATCACAGATAGAAGTTGGAGAGGACAGGATGGTCAGAAAGTAGCATTGTTTTTGTCTTTGCGCCATGAGCATGCTAAATATCCGAACTATCAAGTTGAACATCCAGAAAATCTGGTGGAGAAGTTTCTCATTCCTGGCATTGACGAGTTGGTTATTCTTCACCTTAAAGTTTTATATTATATAGGAAAAGGTAGGTTAACAGTTGTATATCAAAGGTGTTTGCTTATTTAGAAAAGCAAAGGAAGAGTAGCTTTGCCTCAATGTGCATGCAGTGCTATGTCCCTCAGAATTATCATGTTAGTCCTTTTCATAAAAGGCGATGATGCAGAACCTATATAAACTGATTTCATATGCCTTTCATATGCTGCTATAACCACATTTAATCCATATAACTGGTACAGCTACAACACTGATTTGTAGATTCATATTGTTGATCTGTTGTTTCAAATGAAATCTTGTTTTTCAAAGGCGATTACATGGAAGCATATCACCATCAGAGCCAAATGGTGCAGGTATTCACCAAATTATTCCAAAGCCAAAAAGAAGAGAACTGGTCTTTACCTATCATGTATACTGTTTGCACAGATTTGAGGTTGGTTGCGCAAAGAGCAGAAAAAGAGAGATATGGAGCTAATGAAAAGCCTGGAGAAATTTTGGAAAAGGCTGCTGAATGTCTCATGGGCTGTTTTAGGTTTGTTATACAGATATTAATAATTTTATAATATTTAGAAGGCCATTTAACTTTTTATTTACAAATAATGTGTTCTTTTAGAGTTTGTGCTGCAGATAATCGCTCAGCAGAAGAAGATACCAAAAGACTTGGAATGTTGGCATTAGTAAACCAGTTATTTAAGGTTTATTTTAGGATAAACAAGCTGCATTTATGTAAGCCCCTCATAAGAGCCATAGAGTCTTCACCCTTCAAAGAAAATTTTCCATTAGGTCAGCAAGTTACATATAGGTAATGAATGATACCTGTACATTTTTATGTAGAAATAGAATTAATAATATGACTATAATTTGTTTAAAAAAAAAATACATTGGTGTAATGGTGCTCTAAGTATAGAAATCCAAAGTTAGAAATTATAATCTCAATTCAGTTTTTAGAACCAATCTTTGGTGAAACTCATCCCTGGTTTAACCCAAATGGTTAGCTCAGTGGTAATATTTCTTACTTGTTATATTTACATGACAAACACAATCTTTGTTTATTATTTCAGATACTTTGTTGGTAGAAAATCAATGTATGACAGTGATTATAAAGCTGCAGATGAATACTTGACTTATGCATTTGAAAACTGTCACCGGGCAAGCAGAAAAAACAAAAGACTAATCCTCATTTACCTTGTTCCTGTCAAAATGCTGCTAGGTTACATCCCTAGCAAAAAAGTCCTTGAGAAATATGATGTGCTGCAGTTCTGGGACCTAGTCCAAGCTGTCTGTCAAGGGAACCTGAAGCAGTTCGACCAACTCATGTTGACACATGAATCGTTTTTCATCCAGTGTGGCATTTACTTAATTGTGGACAAGCTGAAAATCGTCGCTTACAGGAACTTGTTCAAGAAAGTCTATTTGATATTGAACACTCATCAAATTCCAGTGGAATCATTGATGAATGCCTTGCAGTTTTTGGGGCAAGATGTGGACTTGGATGAAACACAGTGCATTGTGGCGAATTTGATTTATGAGGGCAAAATTAAAGGCTATATCTCGCATCAGCATAGGAAGGTGGTGGTTAGCAAGCAGAATCCTTTTCCTCCTTTGACTAGTCTCTCATAAAGAGTGTCTATGTGAAAAATGTGATGGTTTGCTGTTGTTTTGTTAGTAATCCACTTTCTGAACAATTATGTAATTAAATAAGCTGTTTTTGTTAAAGTAAGGTAATACAACTACTTTTTATATTTGTCGTGATTTTCTAGTCCAATTTCTTCCAATTCTTAAGATAAGTCGACGGCTGTCAAATAATGTCTTTGGTCAAATTGTCCTTCATCAGGGCTACAAAAAAATGTGGCAAAATATATTTAAATATTCAAAATTGTAAATATAGCAATGAAGTGAAAAAAAAGTCAGTCAAAAAGATCCACTAAGAAAATGCACAATAATATAAAAACTATAGAACAAACAAAAACTATGACAATAAACTGGGTACATGATAACTCAGACTCCAAAATTTATGTGAAGAAAGTCTGTTTTTCAGGTATTGTTTTGATCACTGATATAAACCAATCGACAGTCACTACAAGGTATACTATATTTATAGCGGATGTCCAGTACATCCTTAAGTAATGAATATAACATTCCCACCATCTTTTTATAGTAAAACACAACCCTTATCAGGTCATTTGTTAAGAGATGTTTCTTTTTTTCTGATAGTCCTTTTTAAAGACATTGTTTCTGATAGTCCTTTTTAAAGACATTGAAAGCCAACAGACTCTAGCTTAAGAAATCATTTCGTTTATTTCTAGACCATCTTATAGATAGTAGTGTCATCCTCGAGCGAATATTCTTTTAGTAACTTCTTGCTCTTAGTCTACTTGGAGATTTAACGATTATTCCAATAAAATCTGGTGTGTCGCTAATGTTATATGCGTTTCGCTAATAGAGAGCGCTGCCTGTGCTGGTATTGATTTTTGTCGCCGGAGTTGGTCTCTCTCATTTTCCGTTTCAAGGAGGCTAGATATCTGGAGCATTCGGATTTTGTTTTGGGCTAGAACCCGACTTGTGAACGAGATGGCGCCTTGCACTATACAGGGCATTAGGCGACATACAGGGGTTAAAACCAGAGAAATAACGAAAATAATAGTCCTTAAGTGAACTGCGATTGAGCTATCTGTGCCTCAATCCTTCAAGCTCACTTCCTGGAGGCGATGGTACCTTCCATTTGTTAATTCTCACACGACGAAGTATTGTAGTACCGAAAAAAATGAATATAAAGAGATATTGTTTTCTTGGATGTTATATGATGGATATATCACACAGAATCGTGTCACTCATAACTCTGAAAGTACCTTTCGGATCTTGATGCATTTTTGCAACAAGATTCATACTGTGCCAAGAACTAAGAAAAATTGAAAATCGATTCAATGATGGCGAAGCTACGGGCAAAAAAAAGTCGCTAATACTTCGTTCTTTGACGTTTCAGAGACTCCTGCTCATTTCCAAATTTCTTTGTAATGTTTGGGAGTTGGGGTTGTAGAGGGTCTGGGTTGTAAAATTTGCATCTTTGGTTCCAGTGAAATATGTTCTATTAATAAGACAGACAGACAAATTAAAACACTGGTACGTTCACATCACTTTAATTGAGAACTCGGTCCACCGCTACATACGTTATCAGTTTCGATCTCTCGACGGCAGCAGTAAATTGATTCGCATTGCCGGGAAAGATACACAGGCATACCTCCGCGCAGCCCATAGCGGAGTATATTATTTTAAAACTGATTCGCAGATATCCAGGGGCAGTGATAAGTATATCTGACAAATTACGTTTGCTCTTTTGTATGATAACTTGGCGTTTTAATCCTGGAATAACATTAAAGCAGATTACATCTCTGGCATGGCATCAGCAAAAGACGTTCTATAAGTTAGAAGGGTCTGATCCCAATAATATTACGCACATGTTATATATAATATTCACACATATACTAAGTGACATATAAATCCCTACACCCAGTTTAAATGGTTTTATTTTAATAAAAGTTGGTGAGTGTATTTATCTTACTGTAAATAACAAGTGAAAAAATCTTCAGCCTTATCAGTTGGACATTCCGGTTTTTATACTGCTTTTTTTTAATTCACTAACGCTCTAAAAATGAATATTTCAGCCGCAGTAAAGAATCAACGTTGGCGGATTTTGGTTCTTGACATCCTTTACGATCGGTTACGATGCCTAGAGTACGGAGACCTGTACGATTTCGTCAAGTTAGTGAGTTTGATAGGGGCCGTATAGTGGGACTTCGGGAAGCTGGACTTTCTTTTCGGGCAATTGCAGTTAGAGTGCAAAGAAGTGTAGACACTGTGGTTAGGTGTTGTCAGGCATGGCTTCGAGAAGGTCGTACGCAAAGAGCAAGGGGCACTGGACGCCGCCGTAGAACAACAGACCGTGAAGATCGCCGCCTAAGATTATTGGCCTTAAGGGACCGTTTCTCCACTACCAGATCCATTGCAAATGAATGGTTTGCAGAACACGGAAGGCCTATTGGCATGCGAAGTGTTTGCCGACGAATGAGAAGTTTTGGCTTGTTTTCATACCGGCCACACTGGGTCCTCCCTTTAACTCAAGAACACCGACGTAATCGCCTTGAGTGGTGCAGACAACGGTCACTCTGGGATCAGGAATGGAACAGTATTGTCTTTAGTGACGAGTCTCGATTTTGTTTAGGCATGCACGATGGTCGTGCCAGGGTTAGAAGGCGACGTGGTGAAAGGAGGAATCCACAGTTTTTTGTTGAAAGACATGTTCATCACACTGTTGGAGTTATGGTTTGGGGTGCTATAGCTTATGGTTCCAGGTCACCTTTAATCTTCATCAGAGGTAACATGAACACGCAGCGTTATATCCACGAAGTTCTAGAACCCCATCTTTTACCCTATCTTGACACCCTGGCAGATCCAACTTTCCAACAAGATAATGCCCGACCACATGTTACAAGAATCACAATAGACTTCTTTCAACTTAATGATGTCACATTGTTACCATGGCCACCAAGATCTCCCGACTTATCCCCAATTGAGCACGTGTGGAATATGATGGGTAGGAGATTGCTCAATTTGCAACGTCCTCCTCAGAATCTAGAAGCACTTCGAGAGGAGTTGGTGGTTGCCTGGAATGAGATACCACAGGAGGACATTGACCACCTGATCAGAAGCATGCCTAGGCGCGTTGGAGAATGCGTAGCACATCAGGGTGCATCCACACATTATTAAAGGTCAAAGGGCTTTAAAGCAGTGCAATCATTTTGAAATTTTTATCATTTACTTATTATGCTTCATTAAGTACTTATACAAAATTTTATTAAAATAAAACCATTTAAACTGGGTGTTCGGATTTATATGTCACTTGGTATATTTTAGTTGCGTTCGTTTTACACACAATTTCAAATAATCTCACTTCACGTTAGTCCGCGCAGTTTATTGTACGTCCGTTTTACAAAATCTCAATTTTAATGAAATGAGATTTCTTTTACAAGTGACTCGGACATCATGGTCGACAGCCTCGTCTCTATTTGGGCAGTCTCACTTCAAGGGGCGGATCCACAGATAAGTTATTTTTGCGGGGGGACTTCTGAGGGGCGAGAGGTGTCGGTGATTGAAAACTGAGAACGGAGAAGAGAAAAAGTTTGGAGTATGGGACAAGGAAATGAAATGCTTGATTGATGAGAGCGTATATCATCAGTGCATTTACTGTGTATTTTTTTTCAGTGATCTTTTGAGGGGAGAACTCTTCACTAGTTTACCCCCACGGATTGGCTACAACTCACTTCATTTGCGAAAAGAACACTACAATTGTCCATACATTTTCCATTGAATCAGGAATGTAATAGGTGTTTTTTTTTATAGTTTTGGGATGTCGAACTGTAGAGTTTTACGCTACGATGATGCTGATACTAAACATCTTTATTGTGCAACCCTTGGTCGTAGGAAAATGTATATACCTAGTTTTCCAGATTTCAATTTCATTAGTCTTTTTAATGAATCCTTATGTCAATTGTTTTCATTGATTTCTGTTGAATCATATTTCATATGGCCGAACATTTGATGTCAGAATTGTGTGGGAAGTACACAGTCACTGTACTTGACGGCTGTAAAAATGCAACCTTGTCTAGGGTTGTACGGTTCTCGGAATATGACACACAAATACCTTATTTCAAGAAGCATTTCTCAACACGAATTTGACCTGGTCACTTACATAAATTTTTCATGATAAACAAACGTTGGCGACGCCAATCTATTTTCTTTCACTATTCAAGTAGGAAAAATGCGTGTTTACCAGCTTCCGTGTTCTCAACCCAAAAAGTATGCCGCCTATTTTTTTACTTTCGTTGCACTGAAACAGTCATAAAAACTTCAGGCCAAATGTTACCCTTGTTAAAGTTCCCTAGTCCACATACTAATTACGATCAGGTTAGCTCAGTCAATTTGCTTTACAAAGAAGGAACGACCTGTAGATATTACACAAAGAAAAACTTCGTAATCGACTTCGCAAAAACTGAAAGCATCGCAGCTATAACGAAGCATGCTCGTAGAATAAATAATGTAAGTCAAGAACATTGTGCAACGGCAACGCGCCGCCAGTACGCAAGAAACTTTGAACTTTGAAATTTATTCTGCGAGCGTTTGTGGGCTGAGAGATTGGATTTGTTTTTTCACGTAGAAATAGGGAGTTTCGACGAAGTTTTATCTGGTGGTGTGAAGTGACGAGATAATTAAAGTCTTTTTTATTTGAATCGTACTTAACCCAATAAATTGAATTTATACTGTCTCCACACAAACACAGCCACTTTAAAGTTAAATACACCGTTTGGGTTCAACTATAAAACTCAAAGTATTTATATTGACATGTGACGAAATGATTACGATTTCAAGAATACATAAAGTATATCAGTTTACAAAAAATAACCATAAGTTTGTCAATGTATGTGAATTTTTCTGCTAAAGTTGAATTATTTGAAACTACGATATATATTATATTAAGTATTACTCATATATGCGTTAGATGAATCGTTTTCAAGTACACTATTCAAAGTTTCTAGTCACATAATGGTTAATAATTGGATTAATTACTTTATTCCCTAGTCTTATATGCATCTCAAATAATAACTAAATATTTTTGCAACGCAAGTTATATATGGTATTCCATACTTACGAGTACATGGGCATAGTGAACTGGTAGATAGTATTTGCTGAGACATCTTCATATCTCGAAATAAAGAGTTCTAAACTCATTTTTTTCGGGTGATTTATCTAAACCTGCTAAATAGCTACTCTCACGTAGGGGAGACCGGGGCTGGTAGCCGCACGGGTTGGTAGCCGCACTGGCTTTTTCCCCAAAACTATAAATATGGCGACAATGCCGCGTCTCGTGTTTTAAAGCTTAAGTCGCGCCCGAACTTTGTGGAACGTTTCAGTCTGATCAGTGCAATAGAAGTGAGTGCACGCCGTCAAGTGTTATTTTGATGCTCGTAAGTGAATTTATTTTTTCTATTGTTTTTATTATAACTTTTGATGTAAAAGTAATAATATAAAACGAAGTAGACCGTCAGAATTCTACGGAAATCTATTTTTTAGTAACATATTTTTAATAACCACTTTAGTTACCAGACAAAAAATAAACGCAAAAGTATTTTAAAAAACGCTTTGGGGTCGGTCGCCGCATTTGTTGAGGGGCAGGTTGCCGCATGCGGCAACCATCCCCACTTTGGATTTTAAATCATATTGTTGCGACGCAAAAATGTATTTATTTATATATACGTAATTTTAACGATAAGCTTAGCTTAACTTCTAACATAATCATAGCGAATGACCACCTGTATCCGATGTAAACTATAGAAGTTACTCGTATTCCACGTAAATAGAAAAATAACAATTGTAAAACAAAAGTAAATCCCCGTATTACTGTGATGACGAGCAACTTCCTGTTTACCGCTTTTCATCCTTATTAGCTATCTCTATCTGGAAATCTCCCTTTCAACTTTTACGCTCATTATCCCTACCTTAGCTTCACATTTGCATCTAACTGGACCTAACCTGTATCCACTTTTCACTTTCACGCCTACTCTCGACTTATTCCCTTTAGCTCCACCCTTATGACGTCCTATCTATACCTTAGCATTTAAACCTTTCTTAACACCCCTACTCTTCCCTAACCAACCAATAGAATAGCATTGGATAATATTAAACACATAGCTGCATGCGAAAAATATTGTATACGTCGACAGCATGACAGATTCGTCTCAACTTGCGAACGAGTAACACATAACTGTTATCTCCAACCACTTGTAACTCTTTATCGTATTACGCCATAAATTAAAATAAATCAATATATGTAAAAAATAAAGTCTTTGTAGATCAATTTGTACAAAGAAGAGTGAGTATACATAATAATAAATATATATTTCACTCCTACACTCAACACATATAATTTGGAAAAACATATTTAAAAACGTTTTATTATCTTCATAGAATATGAGAAACCGTAAAAGAACCAGTGAAAGGGGTAAGACACCAGCACACATTATGCTAAGGGCTGCAAGAGAGGTCAAATTAAATAATAAATCCATTAGAGGAGCAGGAACCGATTACGATATCCCTGAAAGAACCCTGAGACGATTTCTGCAGAAAGTCACGGATGAAGAGCTTTATGGCACTAATGAACTACCTACAACTGCAGTCGGCTATATAAAAAATAGACAGGTAAAAAAATATAATTACTTATTGGGCACTTTAGTAAACAGTGTGCTTGTGAATTATTTAATACATCTTCTTCATTTTCAGGTTTTCTCCGACGACCAAGAGAAACAATTAGAGGAATATATATTAAAGGCTGCCGATGTATACTTTGGCTTATCACCAAAACAGATAAGAATTTTTGCTTATGAATGGGCTGTCTCACTAAAAATTAAATTTCCCGATTCCTGGAATACAAATAAATGCGCCGGACAAGATTGGTTTACCTATTTTATTAAAAGACACGCTGGTCTGTCTATACGTACGCCGGAAGCCACAAGTTTGGCACGAGCATCAATAAGCACAGTGTAGGAAATTTTTTTAAAAATCTGAAAACAGTTCTGCATAGGCTACAAATTGGTACTCAGAATATCTACAATATGGATGAAACTGGACTTACGACCGTTCAAAAACCTGACAGAATTGTAGCAAGAAGGGGCTTTAAACAAGTAGGTCGAATCACCTCTCAAGAAAGAGGTACATTAGTGACTCTCGCGATAGCTGTAAACGCCATTGGTAATAGCATTCCGCCCTATTTTATTTTTCCACGCGTTAACTTTAGAGAGCACATGCTCTCTGGTGCCCCACCTGGAAGGGCTGGCGCAGCTAACCAGTCTGGATGGATGAAAAAGGAGCATTTTCTGCACTGGTATCAACATTTTGTTAAGCACACTGGTTGCTCCAAAGAAAGGCCGGTACTTCTGTTGTTAGACAACCATGACTCCCATTTATCAATTGATTCTTTGGACTATCTTAAAGAGAATGGAGTGACGGTATTATCCTTTCCGCCACACTGCTCTCACAAGCTACAGCCGCTGGACAGATCAGTGTATGGGCCCTTAAAAAAATATGTAAATACAGCATGCGATGGTTGGATAACCAGTCATCAAATAAATTCAAAAAAGTGCGGCTACCAGCCCCGGTCTCCCCTACTATTGAACCGATTTTGCTGAAATTTTGCACTTCAATAAAGTTTAAATTCACTTTTCAAGCTGAATATTGAAACGTTTGACTATGTACAAAAAAAGCAATTGAATGGTGCTAATTAAATAGCAAAATAGATTGATTTCGATGTTTTAGTATTTTAGTGAAACATGTATTCAAATATCTTAATTTTAGCAGCTTATAGGACGCAACATTTCAAAGGATATCTAAATGGTTTCATCAATATTTTATAAAATAAGTAATTCAGTTTTTCTTTGTCCTTATATTTCATTAGTGCAACACTCTGTAAGGTAATACCCTGAATTTAATATTTTTCTACATTAAACACCTTATGTAGTTTTTTTTAAAGTAGTTTTTAATCATTTAATTCAACCAACTCATGTGTTTATAACAAAATGAGCCCTGCTTTAGGCCATGGTGGGCATACATAGAAATAATGATACTCAATCGAGTGAACGAAAGGGATTTATTTATTGCTTTAACTAGAGATGCTGCTATTTGCTGTCCTCTGTCACCCTTTCAGTAAAGTTTCACGGACGGATGAATATAGACAATCACTGTCTGCGGCTTTTCGGTTAGCTTTAGAAGGGAAGGAAGGAAATCTTACCCGCTTAAGGATCCGTCTGTCGGATTGAGGGTAGGTCAAAGGGTTACAATTACTGCTAACGAGACTATACATCATGAGAAATAGGGAGATAGAGAAATAGATAAATCTTTTTGAGAATCGCGTTAATTCTCCTGCGCCCTGATGTATACCTTAAGTTAGTTCTAGAATTATCAGACAAGATCTTAAGAGAGCATTATGGCTGACATTGACATTCATGCTACTCGTTTATATAATTAGGTCATCGTGTAGTGTTTGTGGAATACTTCGTCTTGTTGTCGTCAAACATAAAGACACACAGTCTTTTCCTTAAGTAAGTAGGAACACGCGTAAAAATAAGCAACTCTCCATTGATTTTAATCATGCTAAACAGACTGTTTAAAACAGTCAATGGAATGCGACAACGAAAGCAGACGATTTGGAAACACGCACACACACTGTCTGGCATGACGATTTAAGACTGTACACTGTACAAGTGAAACGTACGAGGAACATGAGTATCTATGCCAAAATTTGTGCAGATTTGTATGCATTATGTCAAAAATATTTAGCTTTTATCTAACAAAAATGTTACTCTGCATATTAAGTTCATTATAGAGTCTGGAAAATAATTTATTACAAAGAGGGCTGCGGTGCTTCAAGAGGAGCTTCAAGAAATAAATACTCTCGTAAATACTTAAAAAGAAAAGAACCTCTACCAGCAGCATTTTCGATATTTGCATGTACGGTGACAAACCAGATCTGTTCCGTTCAAGATTGTAAAAGCATATACTATATAGTCAGTGGCAAAGAAAATACAACACCAAAAAAAGACTTTATGTGAATGAAATTGTATTAGCAGTCAGATATGAGCAAGGGGGAGTAGTGATTGATTTTTGAAACGAAATATTTGCTAAATAGCTGGATTTCAATAATATTGTGATGGACTACTCCATTGCCACATACACTCATCCAGTTGTATCAGCCCACGCTAGCTATATTTGGGTCCGAAAACCTGTTAGTGTTGGATGAGGTAGAGAGGTCACGTTTCTACCCATCATTTCTAACACATGTCCAATGTTCAAAATATATCGAGATCTAGGAGGCTAAGCAATACGGGGCCCGGCATTATCATTTTTGGAGGATTGGCAAAAAATGTGGTTCCAGTATTTATAATATTTACCGATGCGCCGTCCTATCTGCTCTAATGGAAATTAGAAGTGACTTTAAGGTTTCCGTTTCGTTATTTTTGACAAAGATAGCAAATAAGAATGGTTGGAAATCAGGAGCTTTTATGGCCACTAAAGTGAACCTTGGTGATTTGACAGTACTGACTGCTGACAGTCATGGCAAGTTTATTTATTTTCGATCTTGATGTGAAGCTAACACCAACGAATTCGAATAGATTAAAAGGAGCCAGACCTTTATGTTCACATTACATAGTTTGTCGCCAAAATTGCGTAGTTTTAGTACATATTTTTGACTCATTTGTCTAACATCTACTTTCATTAGGCTTGTGCCGCTCTTTGCAAACTATATAAGAAGTACTAGTCTTGAAATCGTCTGACACCACAATTATCTTCAAACTCTCGCACTTTCAAAAAATAACACTAAATATAAGGATTTAAGGACAAGACTGAGACACGTCGAGTGCACTTTTATCCTCTCTGCAGACTATGAGAATTAGATGACAAATTCTTGACTGGCTCCTTCTACCTACTCTGAGTTCGTTAGCTAATGCGGAAATTTTAAGACCTTATTAATTTTTTTCATAGAAATGTTTCGGTAATATTTGTGTCCAAACCGCACAAAAAATGAGCAGGTTTAGAATCATGGAATCACAGAACAACAAGTGAGCAGTAGAGCTACAATGAAACGTTACCTTGCTAGATCGCATATACTTAGAAGAAGAATCAGGAAAATTCAATTTATTTAGAACACTGCCTATTTATTATATTTTCCTTTATCTGTGATATACAACTCAAATTTCTATTATATTTTAATCAATCTGTTTTTTTTCACTTTATTTCAATTCAGCATACCCAGCTTTACGAATTCCGGCGTCAGCGCTGTAAAAGGAAAAAACTACCTCCCCTATTCGCTGTAACTAATGGAACTTCCTTATTTCGATAACGCAGAACGGATTGTCTCCCTACAGCGCAAACTTGAAATGATGGAGGTCACAATGAAGCAGCAAAATAAGAGCGCTAAAAACTGTCATGAAACGTCGCGAGTCATTCTCCCTTGGCGAGCGTTAGGGATGATACGATTTGATTTTCAGGGACAAAGCCTATTTTTGGGAAAAACTTTGAGTAAATATCCAGCTGCCTCATGATTTGACATCCAGAAATCCATTAATTTATCACTACTTAGTCATGACAAGACTACCAATAAGGATTTGACAGACAGACGAATCATTAGATCGTCAGGCAGTTGCTCTATTTGAACGCTAGGTGCTGCCGTGTCAAGAACCAGAAGCTCCGACACGTTCCTGTTTCAGAGATAACCGGCAGCAGAACCACTTCAAACTAACAGTCCTTACACATATTCTTTCAAACTTCAGCTATTGCTACGAGAGAAATTTAAGAGCCTCTGTGTCAACATTTAAAGCGCTCCGACATTTGCCTGATAGGCGAAACCGATTAGTAATTAATATAACTCCTTACATCATATAAAATAAAACTTGCTTCAACATTCTCAAATTTAACGATATAGCAAAAATTCTTCCATATTTATGAAAGATACGAGTATGGTAGTGATAATATACTGAGTGACAAAAAACGATAAACATGCTTATCCAATTTTAATCGGTGCTTTTCTTTAATGCCCCCCTCCCCTTTGACTTTTTGAACGGATGAATTCAAAAAAATAAAACTTGAGGTAATGAAATTGATGCGTGGATACCACATTTTAGAGTAAAATTGACAGATGAAAATGTCAAGATGGCCGCTGGACGCCATCTTGGAAAAAAAAATTATATGAAAACGGGGGTCTTGTGGCACATCATTTTGAAGCTCCAGACGAGTACTTTATAACCCCAGAATTTAAAGTTAATACCTTTACCTACTACAAAATGGTGGTACATTTAATAATTACCTGAATACAGTGACATTTAACTTGATAATTCGAATAAATACGTTGAGCTCAGTTTAGAAGATGCTGGAAATGGTTGCCTTGAACTTCTTGACACAATAACAGCCGGTTCAGAATTTCGCATCGAACATTTTCAAATATAGTAACATCGATATTTCAACAAATATTTGTTATTCTCAGCCGTATATCCAATATTGAAGCAGGCTCAGTTTCGTACACCTTTTGCTTCAAATAGCCCCATAAAAATAAGTCTAAAGGTGTCAAAGCTGGCAAGCGAGCTGGCCATTCCACAGGATCTCGACCGGGGATATTGTTATCTAAATAATTCCTAACTTGTCTGTAGTAGTGTGGTAGAGCACCATCTTGCTGGAATACAATAACAGTATCGAATTCATTAGGATTCGCTTCAACGATTTCGGTGATTAGAGGGTCAATAGTATTTTCCAGCATATCCAAATACAGTTCCCCGATTAATGTTTGTTCGATGAATAGAGGCCCCACAATATGATTTCCCAATATTACAGCCCAAACGTTTATTTTTTGTGGATATTGAGTATGAGTTTCCCGGAAGACGTGAAGATTGGTGTCACTCCGATAACGACAATTTTGTCTATGCACATTACCGTTGAGAAAAAATGTACATTCATCACTAAAACAAATATTTTGGATATAGGTAGGATGCCGGGCAATGGTTTCCGTCATAGTCTCGCAGAATTCTGTTCTTCGATCAGGGTCATCTTCAGTTAGCTGATGTACTATTTGAATTTTGTATGGGTGATACCTATTCTTTTTCAAAAGTCTCCATATAGTAGAAGGACAAACCTCACGTACATTCGCGATGGAGGTAGTAGATTGTTACGGATTTACTATGATTTCACCAATTATTTGAATTTGCTTTCCTTCCTGGGGGCTTTTTGTTGTTTACACTACCAGTAGCTAGCTGTAAATTTAGATACAAGTTCCCTTAAATATTTTCTTCAGACAGGACGATTCGGGAAGCGATCATGAAAAATCCTTTCGGTCTCGTGAAAGTTACGCGTCGCACTATAAATAAAAATCGCTTCGATTTTTTCTTCCAATGCACGAGAATTGACCATTTTAAAAATAGTTCAAACAATATCTAGC